ATAAAAAGCATAATTAATTATGTTTTATTATTTATTATTAATTATGTTTTGTTATATAAAGCATTGTTGGCCATTCTCTGGTGATCAATGAACAAACTGTAAGCATACACGCACTGAATGGGAGTTGAAATTGAGACAATGTGGACAAGCTTGTGATAGAGTTGTTGGAGGGGAGGAGAGGTGTGAAAATGAAGAAAAAAAGTCACAGAATGGAAAAATTGGCAGAGGCGGCCACTGACCCCAGTGGTGAATTGAGACAGGTTAGTGACGGAAGTGCTTTCATCATGAGGAAAAAAAAAAACCGAAAAGAAGTTTCTTTATTAACAGATAATTAAAGCCAAGGCAAATGTGTTGTTTTCAAGGTGAGTGGTGTGGATAAGTTGTTTAATAATATTTCAGATAAGCTTTTCTGATATAAATTATTGCTAAATATTATGGCTGGCTAGCGTTGGCTGTTGAGTCTTTTTCCTGAATGATGCAGTGCTTTCTGTAGTAATTTTACCGAAGGACGAGAGAGTCCGCTCAGGGGATTTGTGTCCAATGCTTCAATAAATTACTGTGCTCTGGTTTCTTCTGAAGAATTCTCGATCTGCGGCTTGCTTTTGATCCTTCCGTCAAGTTGACTCCATGCCCACTTGGGTGTTTTTCTAATCATATTCTAAATTGAGAAGGGGATGGTTTCTCTATTTCCACTGTAAATAAAGAGGTTGGGTGAGAGGAAAGTGAAGGGGGAGGGGAGGAGAGAGAGCTTGAAGAGAGTCGTTGTTTTGTATTTGATCTCAAAATCTTAATTGAAGCTCGTTTTTTGATCGATTTAATCTCCCAGAAGCACCACCAGTGTCAGTTGTAATAAATTAAAGAAGAATAAAAACAAAATAAAACTTGAGGGGGTATTTATCGTTAAAGATGTTTTTTCAATATAAAATTATTTTTTAAAATTTAGTAAGTTTTTTTTCTAAAATAAAAATTACAAAAATAATTATATCAAAATAAAAAAAAATAAAAATACTAGCATGCTTTGTATACACGATAAAATAAATATTAAAAATAAATTATTGTTGAAAATGAAATATTCAAAAAGTATACACGTGCAGGGAATAACTAGATATTTTTTGCTTGTTTGGCTTAATCTTACTCATGTAAAAAAATTATTTTTTTTATTGGTTGTTATTTAATGTTGAAGTTTAATACTATATAAAAATCTTATTTTTCTAATGTAGAATAGAAAAATTAACATAAATTAATTTTTTTTTAAATAATCTTTATTATTTACAACATTTTCTTCTTTAATTCCACTCCCTTCAACATTGTGATCCTAAGTTGATAAGCCTATACAAAGACCAGAATCTCTAATGCGAAGACAACAGAGTGACACAGCATGAGAATCCATTTTCGGTTTGAATCCATTCCGGATGGCTTCCCTCCTCCGGATGAGAATGCCACACACGATATCTATGCAATTTGTGAGGCTTCCAGGAAAAACTTATTGGGTCCATTTAATGACCTGCTTGACAAGCTGAATGACACAGCATCTTCTGATGTCCCCCCAGTGACTTATATCGTCTCTGATGGTGCCATGCCAGTCGCGATCGATGCTGCTGCGATGCACGAAATTCCTATTGCATTGTTCTATACTATCTCTGCTTGCAGCTTCATGGGGACTAAACAATTTCGAGCACTCAAAGAGAAAGGCCTGACACCACTAGAAGGTATGAACAAGGAAAAAAACGTATTTATAATTTCATTAAGGTTTTTTAATTAGTTCATTAATTCAAAATATATTCCCCTGTAAGTAAACTGGTGCCCTTAATTATTCATTCTGTTCACTAGGAGTACAAACAAGGAAACCTTCTTTTTGTATATATATTTTTTCTCTGTTTCTTCAGCCACTTTTATTCAGTTACTAGAAGCTATATGTACGTTCAATTTTTGTTTGCAGACGAGAGCTTTTTAACAAATGGTTACTTGGACAAAGTAGTAGATTGGCTCCCAGGAATGAGAGATATAAAGTTAAGGGACCTTCCAAGTTTTGTTCGAACAACAGATCCAAATGATTATATGTTCAACTTCTGCGTGGAATGTGCTGAGAGGGCTTCTGAAGGTTCTGCCGTTATTTTCCATACTTTTGATGCATTGGAGCAAGAGGTTCTGAATGACTTTTACTCCATGTTTCCTCACGTCTATGCGATTGGTCCACTTCAATTGCTTCTCAATCAAATGCGAGAAGATGATCTGAATTCTATTGGAAGTAATCTATGGAAAGAAGAAGTTGAATGTCTCCAATGGCTGGATTCCCAGAAACCCAACTCAGTCGTTTACGTTAATTTTGGTAGCGTAGAGGTCGCTACAAAGCAGCAGCTCATTGAATTTGGAATGGGACTTGTAAAAAGTGGTCACCCATTTTTATGGATCATAAGGCCTGACATGATCGCTGGCGACTGTGCGATATTGCCGCCAGAATTCACTGAAGAAACTAAAGACAGGGGCTTTATTTGTAGTTGGTGTCCACAAGAGGAAGTCCTCAACCACCCATCAGTTGGAGCTTTTCTAACACATTGTGGATGGACTTCCATAATTGAGAGCATTTCTTCTGGGGTGCCTATGCTTTGCTGGCCATTCGCTGGTGATCAACAAACAAACTGTAGGTACACATGCACTGAGTGGGGAATTGGAATGGAGATTGATAGCAATGTGACAAGAGATAAAGTGGAGAATATTGTGAGAGAGTTTAGGGAGCGAGAGAAAGGTAAAGAAATGAAGAAGAAAGCCATGGAGTGGAAAAAATTAGCGGAGGAGGCCACTGGGGCCGGTGGTTCATCATCCATGAACTTAGACAAGTTGGTGACGGAAGTGCTGCTGTCATAAAAAAAATTTTTGCTTCTTTTATTAAAAGATAATTTAAGCTGAAGTCAAATGTATTGTTTTCAAGGTGATTAGGGCTGATACATTGCTTAATAATATCTGATATAAACACACATCATATCCTAGGCTTTTTAAATTGCTAAATAATAATATGGCAGGCTAATGTGGAGTGTTGATTTTTTGACATTGTTGTTGGGAAAACTCGGAACAACCGGACACCAATTTACCCGGATCAATTCAGCGGAATACAATTACAATTCACAAGTCCCAATTCTTTTCCTCTTTGTGCAGTAAAACAGAATCAAACAATGATGAAAAATAATGCAAATAATCATAAAATCAACACCAAGATTTTTAACGTGGAAAACCCGATGCGGGAAAAACCACGGGACCGTAGTCCACCTAAAAACTTCCACTATCAACAAATAATGGGTTCACAATCATTCTTCCTCAGATTCAACTAAGGGATACAACATATATATCATCAAGAACAACTTATTCTCGGATTACAACAAGATTAAAGGAGAATTATTTGAGAAAAACTCACAAAACTGACAGCCCCGTTTTCTGTCAAAACGGCCAGCTTCCACACCACCAATCTTCGATCCAACCGTTCAGAATGAAGATCAACGTGTCTAGAAGCTGCTGTCAAAATCTCAGCCCGATCCAACGGTGAAAGAGTTGGAAATCGAAGAAAGAATGAAGGCTGCTCTGCTGCCTTTTCTTCTCTTTTTCTCTCTTGATTTTCTTCTCCTCTCTTCTAATTTCAAATCTGTTGCTACAGTAGCCGAACCACACTGATATTAACACCAAGAGACAGCCATCACATGACATTTAATGTGATGGTCCCACCATCACATGATGTGGGACCATACACAACAAATCTCCCCCTCACACACCATGTGAGGAATTCGCCATGCCGGCGATCAATATGTAAAATTCAATTTAGAAGGCTCTGACAAGCCTGCTTCCCTTCTGCAGAACTCAAACTTCTCTCTCGGTAGAGGTTTGGTCATCATGTCAGACACGTTGTCATCAGTATGGATCTTCTCAACAACGAATGACTTCATCTCCATAGCATCTCGAATCCATTGATATCTAACCTCAATATGCTTTGATCGAGAGTGAAAAATAGGACGCTTACTAAGATGGATTGCACTTTGACTATCACAGTGCAATACAAAGTTCTCTTGAACTAGGCCAAGTTCATGCAAAAACTTCTTCATCCATAACAACTCTTTGCCCCCTTCAGTAAGAGCAATATATTCGGCCTCTGTAGTGGATAATGCAACACATTTTTGCAACCTTGATTGCCATGAGACTGCTCCCCCTACAAACTTCATCAAGTATCCTGATGTGGACTTTCTAGAATCAACATCACCAGTCATATCTGCATCTGTGTATCCATCTAACACAGGTTTATCATTACCAAAACATAAACTGAAACTAGAAGTACCTTTGAGATACCTGAGTATCCATTTCACTGCTGACTAGTGTTCTTTACCAGGATTGGAGAGGAACCGACTAACCACACTAACTGTATGAGCTATATCCGGCCTTGTGCAAACCATGGCATACATCAAGCTACCAACTGCGGATGCATAAGGAACCTTTTTCATCTCATCTTTTTCTTCATCACTTGAAGGACACTGCTTAGAACTTAGTTTAAAGTGGCTTGCAAGTGGAGAAAAAACAGGTTTGGAGTTGCTCATGTTGAATCTCTCAAGTACCTTTTGAACATATCTCTCCTGAGATAGCCAAAGTTTTCCTTTCTTCCTGTCACGTGTGATCTTCATACCAAGAATCTGTTTTGCTGGTCCCAAGTCTTTCATTGCAAAAGACTTGCTCAACTCTTCCTTCAACATCTGAATCTTCTTAGCATCATGGCCAACAATCAACATATCATCCACATACAACAAGAGAATAATAAAGTTTCCATCTGGAAACCTTTTCATAAATACACAATGATCAGAAGTGGTCCTGTCATAACCATGATCCACCATAAAAGAATCAAACTTCTTATACCATTGTCTTGGAGCTTGCTTTAACCCATATAAGCTCTTTTTCAACTTACAAACTAGCTGCTCTTTACCTTTTGCTTCAAAACCTTCAGGCTGCTCCATGTAGATCTCCTCATCCAAATCACCATGGAGAAAGGCAGTTTTCACATCAAGTTGTTCTACTTCAAGATTCAAACTAGCAGTTAAGCCAAGCACAACTCGGATTGAAGACATCTTGACCACTGGTGAAAAGATTTCTTCAAAATCAATACCCTTCTTCTAACCGAAGCCTTTCACAACCAATCTTGCCTTGTACCTTGGCTGTGAGCAATGTTCATCAATTTTCAACCTGAACACCCATTTGTTCTTGAGTGCTCTCTTACCTTTAAGAAGCTTCACTAACTCAAAGGTATGGTTTTCATGCAAGGATTTCATCTCTTCTTGCATTGCTTTCAACCACTCACTTTTCTTCTCATGTGACATAGCTTCATCAAAGCATTCTGGCTCTCCCCCATCAGTGACCAACACATACTCATGAGGAGAATATCTGGTGGAAGGTTGGCGAGGTCTAGCTGACCTTCTTAATTGTGGCTCATCTGAAGCTTCCTGCATAACCTGTTCAGGAATAACATCAACATCATCATTAGTTGCTTCAGGATCACCAACTAATGGCTCAATAAGAGAACCGCCACCATCATCATTTTGCAAGTCTCCCCCATAATTAGCAGGCATTAAAGGTAACTGTGGAGTAGGTCTTGGATTTGAATTAGTTGGAATAAAAACAGTAGACTCTGTTTTCTCCTTTTGTTCAAAGTCTTCAATGGTTTGATCTTCAAAGAAGATAACATCTCTACTTCTCACAATTTTCTTCTCCTTTGGATCCCATAACCGATAGCCAAACTCATCATCTTCAGAGCCCAAGAAAATGCACTGCTTTGTCTTGCTGTCAAGCTTAGACCTTTCATCTCTAGGAACATGTACAAATGCCCTGCATCCAAACACTCTTAAGTGTGCATAAGAGACATCTTTTCCTTTCCAAACTCTATCTGGAACATCAAATTCAAGAGGAACTGATGGAGAAAGGTTGATCATTGCAACTGCAGTCTTCATTGCCTCACCCCAAAAAGACTTAGGCAGCTTTGCATGAGAGAGCATACATCTAATTCTTTCAACAATGGTTCTGTTCATTCTCTCAGCCACTCCATTCTGCTATGGAGTCTTAGGAACTGTCTTCTCCAACTTGATACCATGTTCCCTGCAGTACTTCTCAAAAGGACCCCTGTATTCACCATCATTGTCAGCTCGAACACATTTGAGCTTTCTACCAGTTTCTCTTTCAACTCTGGCATGGAAATCCTTAAAGACATCAAGCACCTGATCTTTGGATTTCAAACAAGTGGCCCAAATTTTCCTGGAGTGATCATCAATAAAACTAACAAAGTACAATGCACCTCCAAGAGACTTGTCAATCATAGAGCAAACATCAGTATGAACTAAATCAAGTACATGTAATCTTCTATGTGAAGGTGATCTTTGAAATGCAACTCTATGTTGTTTGCCAACTAAACAATGAGTACATGTGTTCAAGTTCATACCTTTTAATGGAAGGTAGTTCTTCTTGGCAAGGATGCCAAGGCCTTTCTCACTTAAATGTCCAAACCGCTTATGCCACAGATCAGTAGAGCAATCTTCAATTGCATTCACCTCCCCTTTGATCACCTTGGCTTGTGACATATAGAGACCCATTTTCTTCCCTTTAGCAACAATCAGGGAATTTCTGGAAAGCTTCCATTTACCATCTCCAAAGTAATTGTGATAGCCTTCTTCATCAAGAGTACCTGTAGAGATCAAGTGTAGGCGCATATCAGGCACATGCCTAACATCTTTGAGTAGCAACTTGCACCCAGTATTGGTTTCCAACCAAATGTCTCCAATGCCCACAACACTAACCATCCCTTGATTTCCCATCCTAACTTGACCAAAGTCACCAGCAGTGTAGGATGTGTAAAAATCACGTCGGGGTGTAACATGGTAAGAAGCTGCTGAATCTGCAACCCAGGTGGTATCCTGACATGCAAGATTAACACAACCATCATCACAAACAATGGCAACATCACCATCATATACAACTGCAGCTGTACCATTCTCTTCATTCTTGTCTTCATCTTTACCCTTTTTATCTCTTTTATACTTTCTGCAATCCTTTTGCATATGCCCAGGCTTGTCACAATAATAACACTTAAAACCCTTCCTTGATTGAGATCTTCCTCTTGGCTTCCATTTGCCTTTTCTATTGCTGGATTCTCTATCTTGCTTGCTGTGAGAGAACCTGCTTGGACTTCTCCCTCGACTTTCTGTAACAAGTGCATGAGACTCAGAAGTGCTTGTGCCTTTCCTCCTCTTCTCTTCATTGAGGATACAATCCTTCACTGTTTTCAAAGTGATCTTCCCATTCGGAGTAAAATTGCTAAGTGACACCACCAAAGTCTCCCAACTATCCGGCAATGAACTCAGTAGGATTAGTGCTTGCATTTCATAAGCTAACTCCAGATTCATCAATGACAACTGATTCAAGAACCCTTGGAATACATTTATATGCACTGAAGCATCTTCACCATCTCTATACTTCAAATTCACAAGGTCTCTAATTACAAAAACCTTGTTTTGTGCACTCTCCTTAGCAAATGTTTCTTCCAACATCTTCCAAACTGTATAACAGTCATGTTCTTGAGAAATATGATTAATGGACTTAGAAGAAACCCATTTTCTAACATTAGCAGTAGCCTTTCTATTTAGTCCATTCCATTTTGCATCATCCATATCATCAGGCTTTATTCCTTTACATTCAATCGGCAAAGCCAAATCATTGCAATATAAGTGATCCTCCATCATTGTTTTCCATAGAAAATAATTTGAGGAAGTAAGCTTTATCATGCCCGAATCTTCCTTTTCCATTTTAACTGCACAAGAAATTTAATCTGCACAACCAGTGCTCTGATACCACTTTGTTGGGAAAACTCGGAACAACCGGACACCAATTTACCCGGATCAATTCAGCGGAATACAATTACAATTCACAAGTCCCAATTCTTTCCCTCTTTGTGCAGTAAAACAGAATCAAACAATGATGAAAAATAATGCAAATAATCACAAAATCAACACCAAGATTTTTAACGTGGAAAACCCGATGCGGGAAAAACCACGGGACCGTAGTCCACCTAAAAACTTCCACTATCAACAAATAATGAGTTCACAATCATTCTTCCTCAGATTCAACTAAGGGATACAACATATATATCATCAAGAACAACTTATTCTCGGATTACAACAAGATTAAAGGAGAATTATTTGAGAAAAACTCAAAAAACTTATTCTCGGATTACAACAAGATTAAAGGAGAATTATTTGAGAAAAACTCACAAAACTGACAGCCCCGTTTTCTGTCAAAACGGCCAGCTTCCACACCACCAATCTTCGATCCAACCGTTCAGAATGAAGATCAACGTGTCTAGAAGCTGCTGTCAAAATCTCAGCCCGATCCAACAGTGAACGAGTTGGAAATCGAAGAAAGAATGAAGGCTGCTCTGCTGCCTTTTCTTCTCTTTTTCTCTCTTGATTTTCTTCTCCTCTCCTCTAATTTCAAATCTGTTGCTACAGTAGCCGAACCACACTGATATTAACACCAAGAGACAACCATCACATGACATTTAATGTGATGGTCCCACCATCACATGGTGTGGGACCATATACAACAATTGTTAAGTATTCATCATGGATTGAAAGATCACTAAGTTGATCCTACAAGAACTACAAAGGTAAACATAACCAAAATATTGCCTGGATTTTCAAATATACTTGTTAGAAAATAAACATCGAACATACTTTGGGGCAATGTTTTATCTTGAAACTTTCTATTGGGAGGAGGTAATTAATTGTGAAATTCAATCCATTGTAAGTCATAACGAAGAGGAAACAAGTGGATTTTTCTTCTTTAGATAATAAATGAATCTTCAAGACAAAGATAAAAGTTGAAAATATTGACAAACAAACGGGCTAAGTGATTAACTTACCCCCCAGCCCCAAATCCCCTTTGCCCTCGTTCAAGACTCTCAACCCTAGCACCAGCAGCTAGTTCCACTCTCTCTATCTTTCTCAAAACACCTTTTTTTTTTGTTCTTTACTTCGTCTGCGGGTCTGCCTCTGATTGTCTTCTTCTTTTGTGCTTTCTTTATCAGGTTAGTGCTCTTACACTTCTTGTTATGAAATTGTCTCATTCTCCTTCTCTGTCAGCCTAATTCGTTTCGTTCCAAGAATATTAATTGATCCATGAATCCTTTTCAATTCTTTTTAAGACAGAATGGCACCCAAACTGTTGCCAAATTACTAACTTTGTAGTACAAACTAATGGTAATGGACTCAAGAAAGGCATCCTGTAAAGTGGGTTTAAAGTCTAAACTTTGAAGTACAGATTTTATGAAATTGTTTTAACAAAGAATAAAGGATTGAAAGGCATCTTGCAAAACTTGTGCAATCTGATAATTAAGGGCTCGATATTCGAAATGCATAATGTGTTGCAAATTCAACTGTTTAGTATTCTGTGTAAAATTAGATGAAACAGAGGAACATTTTGTTATGCTTGGATAACTACTTTTATGATTTCTATGCTAGATTTGTTATTTTGGATTCACTGATCTTTTTCCTTCGTCATTCATCGTTGGAATTTCTTGATTTCAAATGCAGCAACCCAACCGTTGAGCACATCATTGGGTGAAAAAGCTATTTGCGGCGTGAAGAGATTGAATTGGTATTTAAATTGGCATATTCCTCTGTTTTAGCTGGCAAATATATAGAATAAAATGGCATGCTTGACTCTTGGAGTAATGAAGTTAAGGGTCTGCAAACTCTGCAGATGATTTTTATTAATTCTATTATGAATATGCACTTACGCTTTCCAAAGTATTTTGTGAGTATCATTCATGATGCTAGCAACTTAGAAGATAAAAGGAGTGACCTTGATACTCCTATGTATGCTTGTTCTAAGTCACCATCACTACATCCTGCAAGATGGTTATTTGAGAAGATGTTGTTAGATATGCCTGCTGATAAACCCTGCATTCACTTCCTTGTCTATGTCATAGTTTGTGCCTTCAAAATTGAAAATCGTGACTTCCATGTTTGCATAATCGGATGATGATGCTAGTTTTGGTTGCCGAAGTAGAGTTTGTGATTAGTGTAATGGGCTTGTGTCTAATTAACCAGAGCAGTCAGATGGTCATAATTGGAGCATAAGAAATATCATATTTTTAAGTTATTTAAATTATGTGTGAATAATTATTTGAATTATGTATTTTAAAATGTTTGGATTTTTCTATTATTTATTTCACTTTTATTTTAATTGGGTTATATTATTATTTAATACTTGACTGAAATTGTCAATATATAATTAGTTAAAACATTTAACTTATGATTTTACAATTCAATTTTACGATCCGAGTTTATATTGTATATTTCGTGTCGTGTCAAAAAAACATTTTTGTCAACCATAACCATAACTACTGGTTACCTGGTAAGTTAGGCACCACCTGCTGCTGCTGCTACTAATATAGTTATCAGTTACTTGCCTTACTAGGCATCATCTTCTTCTACTAACATAATTACTGGTCACCTTAACTTACTAACATTACCAGCTACTAGTTACCAACTCCTTAACCTTTTTATATCAAGTCACTAAACATCTGGACTAGAGAGAATATATTAAATTGCTTGAACTAAGATATTAATCAATTATCTAATATATTAGGTTTTTTTTTCAATATCTTAAATTTTGAGATTCATTGTCGAAATGATTACAAACTAAACAAATATCTAACTTGTTTGATTATCCAATCATTTTATGATTTTTGACTTGTCTTCATCTGAAGAATTCTTTGCGGTTTGCTATTCTGCAAATTAAGTTGGTGTTGGATTGTTTGTTTTTGTATTTTAAAAGTATTTTTAAAAAATTATAAAATTTTGTTATTTTTTTTAAATTAATATTTTTTAGTATTTTTAGATTATTTTGATGAGTTAATATCAAAAATAATTTTTTTTTAAATTAAAAAAAATATTATTTTAAAATATTTGTAAATAAAAAATATTTTGAAAAGTAACCACACTATTTTCATCATCATGTATTTGGGTTAGCTTTATCAGGAGAAAAACAATAAAACGTGTGGTTTCAGATTTCTGTTAATTTGAAAAACTAATTAAGATCAGACAGTGACATCAAAATTAAGAGAACAAAGTGTCTACTCTTTTATCAAAAAATTAATTAATTTCACTGATATTGAAAATTAATAAAATAGTATTTGGACAGTCATGTTTAATTTAGTAGTATTTTGTCCATAAAAAAAGGTTTTCTTTTCTCATCTATCTTTTCATGTTGTTTATTTTTTTATTTTTTTAAATAAATTAGAAAAAGACATGAAATTTACAAAAATAATTAAATTATAAATAGATTTACAAAAATGATTAAATATTTAATTTATTAAACCACGAGGATGTAATTAATTAAATCTTGATACTAGTAGGGACTAAGTTATAATGAATATAGTTATGAGACTTGTCTCAAGGCTTGACTTGATTCAAAGGCAAGCCACGAGTTTATTGAATCAATTTTAAAATGGTGTCATTTCAGTTTTTAAATAAAATAATATTATTTTATATAAAAAATAAAAAAATTCAGTTTCAAACCGGTTCGAAATGAAACTTGGTATAAGCTAGATTACATATCATTAGATTACTGGGTAGATCTACCTAACATGCCGGACCGAACTAGATTTAATAATTATTATAATTAACTCTATATATTGAAAAGAAATTTACAACCATAAGGGCTAAATATTTAATTACTAAACTATGACGACTAATTAATTAAATAAATATTGATAAACACAAGGACTAAATGTATGCTATGTGTGCCAATTTTGGATTCAGTTTCGCGGACAAACAAATAGTTGCTGCAATAGCATAACGTAATTATGGCTGTATGTAAGACAGTAAGAGTAGAATCTCTAAATTGCACAGATCGAAGAGCAAGTAGAGAAAGAAGCATGAGGTTTCGGATCTCCATTATATCTTTAAGATTAAATATAAAATAAATGCTGTCGTATGTGACTTGTATTAGAAGTCATATCTATTAATTAAAAAGAAAAGAAAACAACTGTAGCAGCAATAGCATAACTTAACTATTGCTATATGTAAGAGTAGAATCTCTAAATTGAAGGGAACTTGGAGCAAACGGGGAAACGAAGAGTGAGTTAGGGAGATGGATTACAGTGTTTTAGCTGATCATAAGCCTCATGCAGTCTGTGTCCCTAGCCCATTTCAAAGCCATATAAAGTCAATGCTTAAACTAGCAAAACTACTGCATCACAAAGGTTTTCACATCACCTTTGTCAACACAGAGTTTACCCATAAGCGTTTACTTAAATCTAGAGGTCCTGATTCCCTGAATGGGTTGCCCGACTTTCGGTTCGAGTCCATTCCAGATGGCCTTCCTCCTCCAGATGAGAATGCCATCCCAGATATTCATGTAGTTGGTGAGGCTGCCTCGAAGAACTTGCTGGATCCGTTTAATGAAGTTCTTGACAAGCTCAATGACACAGCAGCTTCTGATTCGCCCCCAGTGACCTGCATCCTTTCTGATGGTTTCATGCCAGTAGCTATCACTTCGGCTGAGATGCACCAAATTCCGATTGCGCTGTTATTTACCATCTCCGCTTGCAGCTTCATGGGCTTTAAACAATACAAGGCGCTCAAACAAAGAGGTCTTACACCACTGAAAGGTATGAATAAGAGAAAAATTAAAAGCCTATTTGTTGTTCTTGCCGTTAAAAGGATAGATAGTGGTAAACAAATAAATAAATAAAACTAGTTTCTGGGATCTAAAAGTTGGAAACCATAAAACTAATTATTATGATAAGATAAATTTTTAATTTTTTTTCAAGAAACTGAGATCCACACCAATATTTATTAAATAGATCCAAAGATGTTCAAATCCGATTTCAATACAAAAGTAAAAAATTGATATCTCTTTTAGTCTGAAATATCGGTTAAAAAACTATTTATAAAACTAAAAATTATTTACGTTACCAAAAAAAAAATCCATTCTTCGATTTTCGTCTAGTTAATTGGAAAGACTACTGGGTATTGTGTGTGTGTATATATATATATATATATTATGCGCGGATTCTGTATGGATTATATATAATTCAGTCTTTTCCTTCTTTTATTAGGGAGTTCATATCTTCTCTACAATGCGCTTAGACCGCTTTTAGTTCTTCTAGGATTTTGTATCAGTGAATCTCTGCTTACACATATAAAGAAAGTCGTTATCTGTCTGCTCATTCATTGCTAGCTATTTAGATAGCTCTATTGATTAAAAGATATTGATTTTCTCAATTTTGTTTCAGATGAGAGCTTTTTAACAAATGGCTTCCTAGAAAAGGTAGTAGACTGGATTCCAGGAATGAAAGATATACGGATAAGAGATCTTCCAAGTTTTGTTCGTACAACAGATGCAACTGATTTTATGTTCAACTTCTGCCTAGGATGCGCTGAGAGAGCTCCTTCAGCTTCTGCGGTCATTTTCCATACTTTTGATGTTTTAGAGCAAGAAGTCCTGACTGCCCTTTATCCTATGTTCCCTCGTGTCTACACAATCGGTCCACTTCAATTACTTCTCAATCAAATCCAAGAAGATGATCTAAATTCTATTGATTGTAACCTATGGATAGAAGAAGTTGAGTGTCTCCAATGGCTTGATTCCAAGACACCCAACTCGGTAATTTATGTGAATTTTGGTAGCATAGTAGTGGCTACAAAGGAGCAGCTCATTGAACTTGGAATGGGACTTTCTAAGAGTGGTCACCCATTTTTATGGATAATACGACCTGACATGATCGCCGGCGACTCCGCGATATTGCCACCAGAATTCACCGAAGAAACAAAAGAAAGGGGCTTTATTTGTAGTTGGTGTCCACAAGAAGTTGTCCTCAACCACCCATCAATTGGAGGTTTTCTAACGCATTGTGGCTGGGGTTCCACAATTGAGAGCATTTCTTCTGGTGTGCCTATGCTTTGTTTACCATTCGCTGGTGATCAACAAACAAATTGTAGGTATACATGCACCAAGTGGGGAATTGGAATGGAGATTGATAGCAATGTGAAAAGTGATAATGTGGAGAAGCTTGTGAGAGAGTTGATGGAGGGAGACAGAGGTAAGAAAATGAAGGAGAAAGCCACAGAATGGAAAAAACTAGCAGAGGAGGCCAGTGGTCCCACAGGCTCATCAACCATGAATTTAGACAAGTTGGTGAAAGAAGTGCTTCTGTCACGACGCAAAACTTGTGACGTTTAACAAAAAAATAATTTAAGCTCAAAACATGACACAGAAACACTATATTCCCGTATTGTTTTCTAAAGTTATTGTGGTGGGTGCATATATTTCCAATTAACATCTCATGTATTCTGCTATTGAAGTTACAAATAGTTTTCATTAAAATTTAATTTTTTAATTAAAATTAATTTTTATATATATTTTTAAATTATTTTAATTTGTTGATGTAAAAAATATTATTTTAATATATTTTTTAATAAAAAATACTTTAATGACACAACCTTGTGTTTAGAAAAATGATAGTAGTTATAATTTAAAATATTTTTTTATTTATAAATACATCAAAATAATATTTTATTTTAAATTATTTTTAATATAAATATATCAAAATAATTTTTAATATAAATTATTGCTAAATCTCATGGCTGGCTACTGTTGAGTGTGGAATCTTTTGCAATGGACAAGAGAGTCCGTCAAAGTCATTGGTTTAATAAATTATTGTGCTCTGGTTTCTATATAAGTTGTCTTCATCTGTTTGCTCTTGATTCTTCCGCGAAGTTGGCTTATTGTCCACAAGGGTGATCATATTTTGGCTCCTGCGGAGAAAAATACAGTGCAAGGATAGGAATAAATAAAACATGTGTGTTCCAGATTTCTTTGCATTTGACAAAATTAAAGAGAAAATCTGTTGCCATACTGGTCTCTATTAAAATCTCCACAGATTGAGAGTTAATTATAACTCAATCACGAAATTTTAAGAGAGAAATTAATTAATCCATGCGATATCGAAAATAAATAAAACAATCCCTTGACAACCACGTTCAATTTAGCAGTGTTTTATCCTTCAAAATTGATAAATATAAGTTGGTGATGGGTGTGTTCACTTTAACATAGATAGCAGAAACTCAAGTAGCAGAGGAAATAGAGAAAGAAAGAGCGAGCTCGAGGCATAACTTGTAAAATTTTAGCTGATCAGAAGCCTCATGCAGTCTGTCTCCCTAGCCCTTTTCAAAGCAATATAAAGTCAATGATTAAACTAGCAAAACTACTACACACAAAGGTCATCACATCACCTTTGATCCATAAAACTATCATATTAAGACAACGTATCGCCTCCGTTAGGATTCCTTAGGTTTCTGTCCACTAAACCCCATTAAGTGGATGTGCACGAGTGACTATTCCCTTCCAAGTTTCATGAATAGAAACTAAGAGATCCCAACGGAGGTGTTAGATTGTCTTGATCTAGTAGTTCAAGGGTCCGGACTTGAAAAAATTAAAAGATAGCATAGATGGATTTGACCAAGAATTCAAGTTTCTCTTGACCAATTAACTATGTTTTTTTAAAAAAAACATAAATTCTTTGTAATATTCTCGAGTTCATGTTCATCCATGTGCAGATAATTATGAGTATTTCCATGTTACCTTTTTAGCCACATAATTTCATCGTTTGTTTTTCCTTTTTATTGGTTATAAGATCTTAGCAAAGTGATTATATTTAGAAATACTATGGTAGAGATGGTGCTCGTCGCATCATTACTGTCTCTTTCAACACTACCTTTCATCACAAACTATTGACTTTTGCTCTCTTTCAATTTATCTCCAGTCATTGTCCTCCTATACAAGCATAATGTTCACAAATTAACCCTGACGTTTACCAAATTAGCCTTGCATTCAATTTTGAATTGCAGACGAGAGCTTTTTAACAAATAGCTATCCAGACGGAGTAGTAGACTGGATTCCAGGAATGAAAGATATATGATAAAAGGATTTTTTAAGTTTGGAAATATGATAGTTGTTGATTTTTAAAGTGTTTTTTTATTTTAGAATGTATTTAAATAATATTTTTTTTATTTTATAAAAATTAATTTTAATATTAGTATATTAAAATAATTTAAAAATATAAAAAATATATTAATTTAAAGCAACATAAAAAATAAATTTTTTTAAAAAACACTTTTAAATTACAGTGACATACATTATTCGCACAATAGATCCAAATGACTGTCTGTTTAACTTATGCATGGAATCTGTTGAGAGATCTCATTCAGGTTCTGCAGTCATTTTCCATACTTTCGATTCTTTGGAGCAAGAAGTCCTGACTTCCCTGTACTCTATGTTTCCTCGTGTCTACACAGTCGGTCCACTTCAATTACTTCTCAATCAAATTCAAGAAGATGATCTAGATTCTATTGATTGTAACCTATGGAAAGAAGAAGTTGAGTGTCTTCAATGGCTTGATTCCAAGAAACCCAACTCGGTAATTTATGTGAATTTTGGTAGCATAGCAGTGGCTACTAAAGCGCAGCTCGTTGAATTTGGAATGGGACTCTCTAAAAGTGGTCATCCATTTTATGGATAATACGACCTGACATGATCACCTGCGACTCTACGATATTGCCACCAGAATTCACTGAAGAAATCAAAGAAAGGGGCTTTATTTGTAGTTGGTGTCCACAACAGGAAGTTCTCAACCACCCATCTATTGGAGGTTTTCTAACGCATTGTGGTTGGGGTTCCACAGTTGAAAGCATTTCTTCTGGCGTGCCTATGTTTTCTTGGCCATCCATCGGTGATCGGCAAACAAACTGTCGGTATACATGCAATGAGTGGGCAATTGGAATGGAGATTGATAGCAATGTAACGAGAGAAAATGTGGAAAAACAAGTGAGAGAGCTGATGGAAGGAGAAGAAGGTAAGAAAATGAAGAAGAAAGCCATGGAGTGGAAGAGGTTAGCTCTCGAGGCCACTCGTCCAGGTGGTTCATCATCCATGAATCTAGACAAGTTGGTGACGGAAGTGCTCTTCTCATGAAATAAAAAATGTTTCTTTATTAAAAGATAATTAAAGCTCAAGACAAATGTGTTGTTTTCAAGGTCATTAGTGTCCGTGCATTGCTAAGTTATATTTCATAAAAACACTGCTGATGTTGTGTGTTGACTATTTTTCCGAAATAATGCTGTACTTGTTGTTGTAACGTTACAAAAGGACAAGAGAGCCAGTTCAAGGGATTTGTGTCCGTTCAAGAGAGATCGAGTTTACAGCCATAAGAGCCACTTAATTTATGAAACCATGAGGCATAAGTAATTAAATCTTGATAATATAAGAATGTGCTCATCTTCTAATTTATTCTAATTTATTGATATTATTTTTTAATGAATTTTTTTAAATAAAATTTTTTTAAGTTTAAAACTTGTTTAATTTTTATTAAATAAATAAAGATAATAAAATTTAAATTCATGATTATTTAGTTATCAAAACTCTGATATTATATTAAAGAATTATTAATTTAATAACTTAAATTATTAATTATAATTTTAAAATATAATTTAATTATATTATTTTTAATAATTCTTATGCAAGTATTTATGGATAGATAAAATAGAATTAAGTCTAGAAGATACCTGAGTTTTGTGAAGTAATTGGGCTGCCGAAAATATGCATAGCTTTCGATATAATTATTGAACTGTAATCAAATTTAACCAGCAAATTTTACCTTATTAGCTAAATATCTCATTGTTTCATAATATTTCATATAAACATAATGATATCTTCGGCTTTTCTAATTTAAATTATTGCTAAATAATATGGCCGGCTACTGTTGAGGGTGAAGTCTTCTCCCAAAGGACAAGAGAGTCCGTTCAAGGGAACCGTGCCAAACGTTTAATAAATTACTGTGCTCTGGTTTATGTTGTCTTCATCTGAAGAATTGTCTGTTGTTTGCTCTAGACTCTTCCGCCAAGGTGATTTCATGTCCACTTGGGTGCTTTCCTAATCATATATTTTGTCTTATCGGGAGAAAAATAAATTAAGGATAGGAATAAATAAAACATCTGTTTTCAGATTTTTTGAATTCATCACAGTATCAACACTCCAAGCGAGACCAGACAATAATGACATTAACAATTAAGAAATACTGAACAGATACAACCAAACAATCAATAATTAAGTTTCGCGTGAATTAATATAATTATGAAGGAAAACATCGTGTATCTTTTGAAGGTGTGCAAATACAGGTTGGACTAGTTGACAAAGAAGATGAATTATGAGTCCTTTTAGAAAGAAAACTTGGAGGTGTGTACAAGCTTCTGGTTCAACTGCGGGCCTACCGGAGATTTTTTGTCAATAAGAGAATATCTGGTTTCTGCTGCCCGGTTTCTTTGACATTAAAACTGAGTGCAAAGTAATTTACAATAACAATATGGTTAGGGTGAAAATAAACCCGCCACAAAAAAAAAAAGAGATTCTCTCTCATGAGTGTAGGTTAACTATGGATTCAAACGTTAATTTATCTATGTTATTAAAAAATAATTTAAATTTTATTTTAAAATTTAACTTAATAATTTAAAATTTTAGACTGAATTAATTTTTGGATATAGTATTAGAATTTTGATGAATATATAATCAAGAGTTAAAATTTTATAATTGTTATTTATTTTGATAAAAAAATTAACACGAGTTTTTTTCTTAAAAAATATATTAAAAAATAATATAAATAATATTTTAAAATCTTATTTAATAACTTAAATTTCTAAATTGAATTAGTTATTTAACACCCTTAACCATATACAACACCCTGACAAATTAATATTATAGCATTCACATGACACTACAGAAGAAACATAGCATGTAAACCATGGCTGACAAGCCTCATGCAGTTGATATCCCCTTCCAACTTCAAAGCCACATCAAATCAATGCTAAAATATCTGGTTTCTGCTGCCCGGTTTCTTTGACATTAAAACTGATTATAAAGTAATTTACAATAACAATATGGTTGGGGTGAAAATAATGAGGTGAATATAAATAAGAAGAACCCAAAAACAAACCTTCGGTCAGGTTTTGAATTGGGTATGGTATCCACAGTGAGAGATTATGTCTCGTGTGTGCAGGTCCACTGTAGATTCAAAGGCCAATCCATCCCTTTAACGACCATAGACAACTCCTTAACAAATTAATATAATAGCATTCATATGACACTACAGAATAAACATAACATGTAAGCCATATTAAAATTTAATATCAACTAGGATTTAAACTAAAAAGATTTAAAGTTTATAACAATTTTAATATTAGTTAGATAAGGAATCCTTGATGAAAAAAAAATTTGTAATAAACTAGTTTTTTATAATCTTTGTTTAATTAGAATGTTAGATTCCTTATTAGATTTGAATTTTCTTTGAATAGTTTAATTTATTGATTAATTAGGGCTCGAAGCCTATAAATAGGCTTCTAATCCTAAGCATTATACACAAGTTGAGAGAGATATAAAGAAAAGTTATAAAGGTATATCTTTTGAGAAAACTTTTAATAAAATATCATTACTCTCATTCTTTTTCTTCTTGTTTTTTAGTTTTGTTATTATAAATTAGCTATCATATCCTATCGTTGTTTTCCAACAAGTGGTATTAGAGCTTTAGTTTGATTATTTAACATGATCAATTCAAACTTTCCATTTCAATGTCCTAGATTGATAAATAGCAACTATCAAACTTAGTGTATTCGAGTAAAAGCTTAGCTAGGTTCTCAAGATGTATGAGAGATGGTTGAAAAGGGCTTTGAGGAGCCTATAAATGGAGTAACGTTGACTTCAGCCCAAAGAGAGGTCATGCAAAAGGTGCAAAGAAAATATAAACTAGCACTAACAATCATCCACCAATGCCTCGATGATGCCACTTTTAAGATAGTGGCGAACACAATCATCACTAAACAAGAATGAGAAGTTTTGCAAGAATCAAACCAAAGAGCTGACAATATGAGAAAGGTACGTGTGCAAAAATTACATGGTGACTTTGAAATGTTATATATGCTTGAATCAGAAAATATTTCAGAATACTTTGTAGGAGTATTGGCCATATATAATCAAATGAAGAGATATGAGAAGAAGATGGAAGAGACATGTGTAGTAGAGAAAATCCTCCGCTCACTATAAAAGTTCAATTATATGGTGGTCACTATAAAAGAATCATAAAATATGAATTTTCTTTTAATACAAGGTCTCATGAGAAAATTACAAGCTCATGAGGAAAGAGTTAATGAGATTCAAGAGTATCTGGGTGCACAAACACTTTTTCAAAGCAAGATAGTTCTAGATATTCTAAAAGAGAAAGAGAAGGATTTGAAAGAGGAGGTCAAGACAACCTTAACAAATAAAATTATAGACTAAATGAAGGGAATTGATCGATCGGTTCAACTAGAAATAACAATCCAAGATTTAGATTTGACAACATGTTTGACAAATCAAAAGTTAAATGATATAATTATCAAAATACAAGTCATTATGCTAGTGACTACTAGAGTCCAATCAAGAGGATTGAGGAGAATGCAAATCTTGCGATAGAAGAAGAGAAGGAAACCACTTTACTACTAGTCAATAATAGAGAATGCAAGACAAAGAGAACATGTGGTACCTAGATAACGAAACTGATTAAGGAAAGATGGTGATTAGTAGAGATGTTGAGTTCAATGAAGGAGTATATGATTGGAAGGTAAATGATGGTGAGAAATATGACTTCTTAACAATTCTTGATGAAGAGGTGGAAAGAAATGAAGATCATCAAGAACCTATAGTCATACATCTACAAACACAAATGAGCTCAACTTCTTCTTCTTCTTCTTCTTCTTCTTCTTATAATGAAAGCACAAGTTGTGGCATTCTATCAAGTTCACCAAGAAAGATGAGGAGCCTTAATGACTTATATGACGTAACTAATCCTATTGATAATGATGTAATATTATATTATCGTGATCTTATAGTGTTTGAAGAAGCAATAAATGATGAAAAATAGAGAGTTGATATAAATGAGGAGATTGCATCAATTGAGAAAAATAACACATGGAAATTGCTTCTTTGACTAAAGGAAAAGAAGTCAATAGGTTTTAAGTGGATATACAAATAAAGAAATAAATGATGAAAAATAGAGAATTGATATGGATGAGGAGATTGCATCAATTGAGAAAAATAACACATGGAATTGACCGAAAGAAAAGAAGTCAATAGGTGTTAAGTGGATGTATAAAGAAAAAAAAATGCCAAAAGAAAAGAAAAGAGGTATAAGACGAGATTGAAGGAAAACAACTATAGTTAAAAGCAAGGAATTAATTATAATGAAGTTTTTGCTTTAATTGATAACATTAAAGTTAAGCTGTAAGAAATTGAAAATGTATAAACCCGAAAGTTAATCTCATTTGAAAAAGTCAAGAATACAGTTGAAGGTTTAAAAATGTAAACATGGTTTGGAAAAATAAAATTAAAGTTAAATATAATGGAGAAATTACCTTCATCAATTTTTGATGATAATGGATTATGAACAACATCAATATTATTAAGGTAAGAGATCGTGAAAAGAAAAAAAAAAGATGAAAGAATGATAACAATTGATATTAAAAAGGAGTGTTGAAATTCAATATTAACTAAAATTTAGACTAATAAGATTTAGAGTTTATAAGAGTTTTAATATTAGTTAAATGAGAAATTCTTGATGAAGAAAGATATGTAATAAACTAGTTTATTAAAATCCTTGTTTAATTAGAATGTTAAATTCCTTAATAGATTATGATTTTCTATGAATAATTTAATTTCTTGATTAATTAGGACTTAGGCCTATAAATACATTTTTTTAAAAGATAGATTTTTATAGATTTTTTTAATATTTTTCTACATTCTCTTTTGCTTAAGAATCCTTGTAGCTCTAGCTTTCATAGCCTTTAGAGTATCTCCAGTAAGAGAGCTAAATGAAAAATCAAATATTAAAAATTATACATTTAATTTTTGTTTCTTCATTTTCTAACTTCAACGCGTAAGGCAAACAAATAGCTATTTGTTATGTGAAGAGCTATTTCTATATTTCCCTGTAGAAAAGGCAAAAAAAAAAACTATTGACTAACAATTATTTTTATAGCTATTGGCCAACAATTCATTTTCTCATTCCAACGCGTGAGACAAATAGTATCTCCATATACAAGTGTTTGTATAACTCAATTCTTTTATATTCTTCTTTATAGTATTCACGTGAAAGTTTACTACTATTGTTTAATTTTGAACTATTACTGTTTAATTTCTAACTGTTATTATTTGACTTTGAACTGTTACTGTTTAACTTTTCAATTGTTATTTTCTAACTTTCCAACTATTACTGACTGATTTTGAACTATTACTATCCAATTTCTGATTGTTACTGTCTGAACACTCATCAGATTTTTAACTATATTTAAGGTTATAAAACATAAAATATATAGGAATTAGTTATATAATTATATTAAAATTGATTTAACATAAAATATATTAAAATATAATTGGCTTTTCTAAATAGCTTTTTACTATTGAAATATATTAAGGAAAAAGGCCCTATATATGTAAATACTCTTATATAGGAAGAGTTATCACATGTAATACATTCCACCATTATATTGTACACAACCCTACAAGTATAAATATAAAGGTTGGCTGCTCTCCTTCAGTACAACCACAATTAATACAAAACTATCTCTCAATTAACTTAACTTGGTATTAGAGCTGCGGTTATTGTTTAGCAGCCTTCTTTTGCAACAGCTGCAACTCTCCTGCATAATGGTTTCCGCAACAACAGTTCTTCCTCTCTTATATTCGCCAACAGCAGTTTCTTCTTAAGTAAAGATCATTCATCTTCTCCCTCTGTTACTTCTCATCAGCATTCAGAAAACCAAAACTGCAACTTCTTCTCCTTAACAACATCGACAATCAAGAACTTCAACAGTTGGCTGCCACTGCATCAGTTCTTCAATCTTGTTTCTCCCTTGTGGCGCAATCAATTATGTATGGCGCAACCCCGACTACCTCCATTATCCCTCTTCCTAACACACATCAAGTAGTCTCTTTAAACTCTCCAACCATAATTTCTTGTATTGGAGGATGCAGATGAAATTGTTTCTCTTGGGCCATGGCACTTCAACATGTCCTCCTTCATATCTGGCATCTGCTGAGACCTCTACACTCTCTATAAACCCTGCATATTTGTCATGGAAGTAGCAAGATCACTTAATCATGAATGCCCTCGATATCATCCAACGAGCAGGTATGACTTCGTACAAACTAGTTGATACTCTTCTGTTTGCCTCCTCCAAATTAGGACTCATACCGGGTTCTCTCTACTCTAATCCCACACGGTATAGGTAGATTGGTGAGGCATTACAATATCTTACCTTCACTAGACCTGATATCTGCTATGCAGTCAACAAAGTCTGTCAATTTATGCATACCCCTACTGGGGATCATTGGTCTGCTGTTAAACGCATCTTGCGTTACCTCCAAGCTACAACAACCTATGGTCTGCACATCACTCGGGATTTTTCCTTGTCTCTTCATGATTTCATAGATGCTGATTGGGCTGGCAGTACTGACGATCGAAAAGCCACAGATGGTTATCTTGTGTACCTTGGCTCTACTCCTATCTTATAGAAATCCAGGAAACAACGCATTATTGCGAGGTCCTCTACTGAAGCGGAATACAAAGCCTTAGTTGATGGTATTACTAAGATTTTATGGATTCACTCATTATTTTCAGAACTTTGGGTCCCTTCTTCGACTGTAACTACGTCATGGTGTGATAATTTAGGGGCTACTTTCTTATCTGCAAATTTAGTGTTTCATGCTCATACTAAACATATTGAAATTGATTATCACTTTGTTTGTGATTGTGTTACTAAGCAAGAAATTCAGGTATGGTTCATCTCTTCCAAAGATCAACTAGCTGATGTCTTTACCAAGCCTCTTCGTCTACTCTCGTTTGCTTTCTTTTTATCCAAGCTTCAGGTGGAATCTCCATCTTTAGCTTAACGGGGTGTATTAAGGAAAGAGACCCTATATATGTAAATACTCTTATATAGGAATAGTTATCACATGTAATACATTCCATCATTATATTGTACACAACTCTACAAGTATAAATACAAAGGTTAGTTGTTCTCCTTTAGTACAACCACAATCAATACAAAACTATTTCTCAATTAACTTAATTGAATGCATATAATTAAAAAAAGCTATATTTACATTGTTTAAAAAACTATTTTTTTATTTGGCTATTTAGTATAGTATTTTTTTGTTGGAGATACTCTTAAAGCAGGTCCACGTCTTGTCTTTTCAATATGTTCTTTATATCTAGCTAGTTCTGCATCTAGCTTCTTGGTCTTCTCATCTACAGTATCACCTCTTTTATTTATCTTCTCTGGACATCTTGAATTGATGTGTTTCTTTATCTTTTTTAACACTACCATTCCTTTCATTCTTATTCTTGTTCTTTAACTTTGTTTTTATAAATTAACTATCACACCCTATCTTTCTTTTCCAACAAGCCATGGCCGACAAGCCTCATGCAGTTTTTATCCCCCTCCAACTTCAAAGCCACATAAAATCAATGCTACAATTAGCCAAACTACTTCACCACAAAGGGTTTCACATAACCTTTGTCAATACTGAGTTCAATCATAGACTCCTGCTTAATTCTAGAGCTCCTGATTCCCTTAATGGCTTGCATGATTTTCGATTTGAAACCATTCCGGATAGCATCCCTCCTTCTGGTACTCTTGCATCTGCTGAAGATTTTAAGAAAAACCAACTGGCTTCATTTAATGACCTGCTTGCCAAGCTTCATGATACAACATTTTCTGGTGTGCCGCCGGTGACTTGTATTGTCTCTGATGGTGCGATGCCATTTTCTATCAGTGCTGCTGAAACGCTAGGAATACCTATTGCGTTGTTCTTTACTATATCTGCATGTGCCTTCATGTGCTCCAAACAATTTCGTGCACTAAAAAAGGAAGGCCTAGCGCCATTAGATGGTATGAAAATGAAATGAACTTTTTATTGTCCTTTGGTTTTTGACTATTGAAATTACCTCCGAATTTGCATCCAACTGTTCATTGTGTTTGCAGACGAGAGCTTTCAAACAAATGATTTCGCGGACAGAATCATAGACTGGATTCCAGGAATGAAGGATATACGTTTAAGAGATATTCCAAGGTTCTCTCGCGGTACGGATCCGAATGGTTGGTTTTTTAACGGCGTCATGGAAGCAGTTGAGAGTGCTTCTAAAGCTTCTGCAATTATTTTGCATACTTTTGATGCTTTGGAGCAAGAGGTTTTGAATGCTCTTTTCTCTATGTATTCTCGTGTCTTTGCAATCGGTCCACTTCAGTTGCTTCTCAATCAAGTACCTGACGATGATCTGAAGTCCATTGGATGTAACCTGTGGAAAGAAGAGTCTGAGTGTCTGCAATGGCTTGACTCCAGGGAACCAAAATCAGTAATTTATGTGAGCTTTGGCAGTATAGGAGTCATCTCAAAGCATCAGTTCATTCAATTTGGAACGGGACTTGCTAAAAGTGGTCATCCATTTTTATGGGCAATAAGACCTGATATGGTCATTGGGGACTCGCCTATTTTGCCACCAGAGTTTATGAAAGAGACTAAAGAGAGGGGCTTCATTGCTAGTTGGTGTCCACAAGAAGAAGTGCTCAGCCACCCTTCAATTGCAGGTTTTATAACTCATTGTGGATGGGGTTCCACAATTGAGAGCATTTCTTCTGGGGTGCCTATGCTTTGTTGGCCATTATTTGCTGATCAACAAATCAACTGTAGGTATACATGCAATGAGTGGGGAATTGGGATGGAAATTGATAGCAACGTCAAGGGAGAAAATGTGGAGAAGCTTGTGAGAGAGTTGATGGAAGGAGGGAAAGGCAAGAAAATGAAGAGCAAGTCCATGGAGTGGAAAAAATTAGCAGAAGAGGCAACTGCTCCAAATGGTTCCTCATCCATGAATTTGGACAAGCTGATAAACGAAGTGCTTCTGTCATGAAACGTCAAGACTCAGCTCGAGATTGACTCATACTTTGCAATGTGCTTTTTGTGCTATATGTCGTTAATTGATCTGGTGTTCTTAAAAAGAGCCTCAATATTTTGTATCTTCGATATTTTCTCATTCTCTTTTGAGTCCTGGGATTGTTCAAAGCTGCATTATTTTGTTGGAAAGAGATTCTAAATTCCTTTTCTTCTTGACTCTTGCATCATTTTAATATAATTATGTGCTTTCCATTATATCATGACATGCGTTTGATCTTGGATGTGGATCATTTTTCGCAGTCCTTTCTATAGCATAACCAAGATTGTTGCTTGAGACTTATTCTGACAGAGAACACAAAGATAGAAATTCATGAAAAAGGGTTGGATAAGCTCTAGCCAGAAATTAGAGCTGTTTATTCTCAAACAAAGTATAATCTACTAAAAAATCTCTCAAGAAAATTATGATAATAATTCAAATATGTTCATAACGGGTATTAACAAGAAATGAAAAGAAATAACAAGAAAAAATAAAAGTTATAATTCAAAATTAAAAAGAACAAAAATACAAAAACTTAAAAAAATCTTCTAGGCATAATTTGATAGTAAGTTTACCTACCATAGCTAATTGCTAATCCAAACTACTCGTAAAAATTCAGCACAATCATATCAAAAAGTTATAGATATTTTTGTAAAATAGTTTTGTACGACCACACCTCTTTTTCCATCTATTCATGAACATGTCTGCTAGACTTTTCATGTGTTTCAATTGTAATTGCTGATCTTCATCCAACTATGGAGATCCTTCATAACAACTTTTTGTTAATGAATTAGAATAAGAAAGTACTTTCACAAATTCTTGCGTGCTTGGATTACAAATATAAAAATTCTTGTTGGTTTCACAGTGAGAATGCTATCTTCAGTATTGTTTCTTAGGGAGTTAAACTCTTTCGCGTTGACATGTCAGGTTCTTCATTTTTTTTTTTACTAGTACTGTTAGTTTCATTTTTAGTCTTTTTCTTCCTATTTTTTTGTGTTGTGATGGTTATAAGCTCCTTCAAGCCACTTCCCTATAGGCCTGCAATCTCTTTCTATATTAAATAAATAAAATCCGATCACAAGATCTCCGGAGAAAACAAATATAAGCTTGAGTGCTACCAACAAGGCATCCAAGACCATGTCAAGAAGTAAACGTGAGAATATAATCATCAAGAACAATAGTAAACTCATCATGAACGTGATAGTAACCATGAAGATTAATGCTTTAATTCAACAATGCCAAATCAATAGACACACATAACACCGACAACTAGGGGTGGAGTCAAAAAATAAAATTAAAAAAAATTAAGATTTCAATTGTTTTATTATTTGAATTAAAAATATAAATATTATTATGGAAAAGCTAGAAAAAAATTTCCTTGCAGGCAGGGACAGAGCCAGACACATTTCACAGGGGAAGCTAAAATTAATATAATAATATATATTATTAAATAACTTATTTATTTAAATTAAAAAATATTAAAAATTTTAAAATTTTAAAATGTTTTGCATAGACCGACCCTGCTTGCAGGGGCTGGCCCCTATCTCCGCTGCTGCTGACAACCAAATTGAAAACCATGGCTCAAGCTTGAGCGTTGACTTCATTTGGTGACAGAAGAACTTCGTTTATAAGCTTGTCCAAATTCATGGATTATGTACCGTTTGGAGCTGTGGCCTCCTTTGCTAATTTTTTCCATTCTGTGGCTTGCTTCTTCATTTTCTTACCTTTCTCTGCCTCCATCAGCTCTCTTACAAGCGTCTTCAAATTTTCCCTGTTGATATCATTATCAATCTCCATTCTTATTCCCCATTCATTGCATGTATACATAGAATTTGTTTGTTGATCCACAATGAACGGGCAACAAAGCATAATGATGTAAACCTCGTGATCACATGGTCACGCAATCTACACGTAAAGACACTAATTCCCGAAAAACCAAGTCAATTAGGTTTGATAGGAGTGTGACATAAAAGCAAGTCAATTAGGTTTGATAGGAGTGAGACATAAAAATAACTTATACCTAAATACCAGTACTATTAAAACCAGAAAAACCCTCACCCAACAAATATTGATTCGCGAACAAGAAGTATAAGGATGATGCCACGAAAATAGTTGTTCTTTGATAAGTCATTTTTTAATTCTTTAGAGAACCATAAAAGAGAGATTATCTCACCAACACGAACACACACACAAAGTACAACAAACAAGAAGTTTTATCAATATGAATTGTTTTCCCTTACTCAGCCTAGTCCTCTGTTGCGCCTTTCAACACTAGGTTCCTTCCCTATTTCCCCCCAGACTTGATTTATGCATTGATTTGTCTCATTTCTCTCTCTAGCAAGGCCAAAACAATGTGTCTTCCACTCAACCTCAGGTTGTACGCACTCAATCCATAGTACTTCACCCACGTTCATCCGAAACTGCCAACTTGAGTGCCTTATCTGCCTCCCGGTCTATATCTTTGCCTTAGCAGGAACCAGTTTCATTTAAGGTTGTTGACAAATACTTGATTTGGCATAAAGCCATGCAAGAATAACTTTGGGCCCTTCACAGTAATGACATTTGGTCATTAGTTCCTTTTGCTCCATCTATGAATGTGGTTGGCAGTCGGTGGATATGTATGATTAAGAGGCATGTTGGTGGATGTGTGGACCGATATAAAGCATGGCTGGTTACACAAGGTTTCACTCAGCAAGAGAAGGTTGATTATTTGGAAACATTTAGTCCGATGATTAAGCCAACAATTATTCAACTTGTCCTTACTATCACTGTCACCTATGGTTGGCAGATTCATCAGTTGAATGTCCATAATGCTTCTTTGAATGTCATTATTCAAGAGGAGGTGTACAGGGCACAACCACTTGGTTTTGTTGACTTTACATTCTCATCGCATGTGTATCATCTACATAAATCTTTGTATAGTTTAAAATAAGCGTCTCGAGCATGATACAACCGGTTAAGTGAGTTTTTGATTTCCACTGGTTTTCAAGCATCGAAGGTTGATACTTCTCTGTTTATTCTCTCTTTCAACAGTACTATATTTTATTTACTTATGTATGTTGATGATATTTTGTTGACTATGAGTAACCCAACTTTGCTTCAACACTTAATTATTTTGCCGAGTTCAAAGTTTAAACTTCGGGATTTAGGCTCTATTCATTTCTTATCGGGCATTGAAGTTAAATCCACTTCTATGGGTTTGTTACTCAACCAAGATAAGTATAATCTTAATATTTTCCAACGAGTAAGTATGACTTCTTATAAATCAGTTGTTACCCCTCTGTCTACCTCCTCTAAATTGAGCATCGTATTTGGTACTCCTTACTCTAATCCAACACGATATAGATAGATTGTTAGGGCTCTATAGTATCTTACTTTTACCAAACCTGATATTTGTTATGCAATCAACAAGGTATGTCAGTTTATGCATGCCCCTACTAAGGATCATTGGTCGGTCGTTAAATGCATTCTACGTTACCTTCATGATACAACTTTTTATGGTCTACACATTACTCAGGATTCCTTATTATCTCTTCATGGTTTCACTGATGCTGATTGGGCTGACAGTATTAATGATTGAAAATCAACAAGTGGTTATCTTGTATATCTTGGTGCTACTCCTATTTAATAGAAGTCAGGGAAGCAATGCATTGTGGCTCGATCTTCTACGAAGGCAAAATACAAGGTTTTAGTTGATGGTACTGATGAAATCTTATGGATTTGCTCTTTATTATCAGAACTTCATTTTCCATCGTCATCCATGACTACATTATGGTGTGATAATTTAGGGGTCACCTTCCTATCACTCAATCCAATTTTTCATGCTCGCACTAACCATGTGAAGTTGACTATCACTTTGTTCGTGTTGGCGTTGCTAAGCAAGAAATTTAGGTATGCTTTATCTCTTCAAAGGACCAACTAGTTGATGTCCTTACCAAGTTGTTTCCCAAAGTCTCGTTTGCTCTTTTTCGATCCAAGCTTCGGGTGGAATCTTCACCTTCAACTTGACAGAGTGTGTTATGGAAAGAGATTAGAATAGGTTTGTTATATATATATATATATGTAAATACCTTATATAGGGATAATTATCATGTGTAGTATACTCCACTCTAGTATTATATACAACCTAAAGGTATAAATACAAAGGATGGTCGCAGCTATTAGCAACTATTGAAATTTACATACAAATCATTCTCTTAACTTAACTTATCCTTCAAGAGTGATTTATTTTCTCATTTATCTTTTCATATAACTTGTTTTTTTCATTTTTGTATTTTCTCAAAAAAGAAGAAGAAGAAGAAGAAACAAAATAAATTGGGAAATGACATGAATAAACACTAAAAAAACTCTTATTACTAAGCTGCAGATTTTAGAACAACGTAGAGTACAAATAATATCAAAACCTGACAGGTGAGTTCTACGTGGTATAGATTTGGAGCGATTCAGTTGCGTGTAGAAAGAAGTTTGTTTATTAAAAGAATATCTAAGACAAATGTGTTGTTTTCATGTATAGATATTACAATTTCTAATATAAATTGTTTTGCCATATGGAAGGCTAATGTTGAGTGCTGATTCATTTCCTAAATAATGCAATACTCGATCGCAGCAGTAATTTTCCCAAGGGACAAATAAATCAGTCTCGGGGGAGCCAAGACCTATGCTTTAATGAACTAGGCGTGCATATATCCATCTAGGAAATATCGTCAATTTGTTGAAATCAAAGATCAGACAGTGACTTCAAAGGATGTACTTGTACAGAATTCAGAAGTCTACTTGTATAATTTTGTGATTGGTGTGCTCGCTTTAACATAGAATAGCAGAAACAGGAATAGCAGAGGTAATAGAGAAAGAAAGAAAGAGCTAGAGACATGACTAGCAAAATTTTAGCTGATCATAAGCCTCATGCAGTTTGTTTCCCTAGCCCAGCTCAGAGCCACATAAAGTCAATGCTTAAACTAGCGAAACTACTACATTACAAAGGTTTTCACATTACCTTTGTCAATACTGAGTTTAACCATAAACGCTTACTTAAATCTAGAGGATCTGATTCCCTGAAAGGTTTGCCCGACTTTCAGTTCGAATCCATTCCTGATGGCCTCCCTCCCTCGGATGAGAATGCCACCCAAGATATGCCTGGACTTTGTGAAGCTGCCAAGAAGAACTTGTTGGCTCCATTTAATGACCTGCTAGACAAGCTGAATGACACAGCATCACCTGATGTCCCCCCTGTGACTTGCATCGTCTCTGATGGTTTCATGCCTGTCGCTATCACTACTGCGGAGATGCTCGGGATCCCTATTGCTTTGTTCTTTACTATCTCTGCTTGCAGCTTCATGGGGCTTAAGCAATATAAGGTGCTCAAAGAAAAAGGTTTTATACCACTAAAAGGTATGAACAAGGAAAAATTAAAGTCAAAATTTCAATATGATATTCTTTCAGTGTTCGTTATTTATCTTTACTTGCTTTTAGTTCACTAGAAGCTCTCTTGGGAAACAGAGTAAGCCCTTCAGACACAGAACCTGAAATTTGATTTCGAATTTGCTTGTAATGTCTTCAGGCAGAGAAATTATTGCACTCAACTAGATATATAGTAGGTTCTACAATCACTTCATTGTAAGTACGGTAAGATTTATGAGTGGATCATTGAGTTAACTTGACTAACCTATGAATTACTATGTCAATCATTTCCATTAAAAAGACAGTTTTGTTCTTTTCTTTTCTAGGAGCTGACCACTTAAATTTGGATTAGGTTTGATTAAGTTAAGAGTCATAGAAAACCTGACTAAGTAGATCAACTGAGTTCTATCGAGTCAACATATTTTTTAATTTAACTTGAAACCTGGTTTGAATCAAACTCACGAGTTTTCTAAATTAACTTACCTATTGAGTTTAATAACTATCATTGTATCTTCTTTCTCCGATATCACATGCTTTGATCTTTGGTTTTTAATGTCACCCACGTATATAGGTTGTGTCATAAGCATTAATATGCGTTCAACATCAAAAGTTGTAGCACTTGTTTTTCAAGCTACTTGCTAGAGAACTTATGAATTTGTGGTCAAGCCAGCTAGATTCATAACGCTCTATTTTTTGATATTGCTCCATAAAACTATCATATCAAGACAATGTATCGCCAATATCGTTAGGAATAGAAACTAAAAGATCTCAACAGAGGTGGTAGATTGTCTTGATCTAATAGTTAATGTTAAAGAACTAATTAATTCAATCTAATATCTTAAGTTGGTAGATGAAACCCCAAATTATGATTTATATAATTTTCTAATATATTTTTTCAAATAAAAACTTTTTAGAATTAAAAATTCAAAAACTCACACTAAATTATATTTAATTTTTATCAAATAGAATGGAGCTAATGAAATTCAAACACGTGATTGTTTAGTTAACAAGACTTTAATATCATGTCAAAGAACTAATTTAATCTAATAACTTAAATAAAATATCAAGATATAATTTATATAATTCTTTTATAGTTCGGGGTGCTTGAAAAATTAAAAGAGAGCATTGTTGCCGGGGTCATGCTTGAAAAATTAAAAGAGAGCATTGTTGGATTTGATGGAGAATTCAAGTTTCTCTTGACCAATTACCTATGTTCTTTTTTTAATATAAATTCTTTGTAATATGCTCCCGTTCATGTTCATCCATGTACATACATATATAATTATGAGTATTTCCATGTTCCTTTTTAGCCCACATAATTTTATCCTTTGTTTTTCTTTTTTATTGGTTATGAGTATTCAACGCAACCTTCCATCACAATCTATTGACTTTTGCTCTCTTTCAATTTATCTCCGGTCATTATACTCATATACAAGCATGATGTTCACAAATTAATCCTAACGTTTACAAAATTAGTCATGCATTCAATTTTTTATTGCAGACGAGAGCTTTTTAACAAATGGCTATCTAGACAGAGTAGTAGACTGGATTCCAGGAATGAAAGATATACGATTAAGGGATCTTCCAAGTTTTATTCGCACAACAGATCCAAATGACTGTCTGTTTAACTTCTGCATGGAATCTGTTGAGAGATCTCATTCAGGTTCTGCAGTCATTTTCCATACTTTCGATGTTTTGGAGCAAGAAGTCCTGACTTCCCTTTACTCTATGTTTCCTCGTGTCTACACAATCGGTCCACTTCAATTACTTCTCAATCAAATTCAAGAAGATGATCTAGATTCTATTGATTGTAACCTATGGAAAGAAGAAGTTGAGTGTCTCCAATGGCTTGATTCCAAGAAACCCAACTCGGTAATTTATGTGAATTTTGGTAGCATAGCAGTGGCTACTAAAGAGCAGCTCGTTGAATTTGGAATGGGACTTTCTAAAAGTGGTCACCTGTTTTTATGGATAATACGACCTGACATGATCACCTGCGACTCCGCGATATTGCCACCAGAATTCACTGAAGAAACAAAAGAAAGGGGCTTAATTTGTAGTTGGTGTCCACAAGAGGAAGTTCTCAACCACCCATCTATTGGAGGTTTTCTAACACATTGTGGTTGGGGTTCCACAATTGAGAGCATTTCTTCTGGGGTGCCTATGCTTTGTTGGCCATCCTTCGGTGATCAGCAAACTAACTGTCGGTATACATGCAATGAGTGGGCAACTGGAATGGAGATTGATAGCAATGTGACGAGAGAAAATGTGGAAAAACAAGTGAGAGAGCTGATGGAAGGAGAAGAAGGTAAGAAAATGAAGAAGAAAGCCATGGAGTGGAAGAGGTTAGCTCTCGAGGCCACTCGTCCAAGTGGTTCATCATCCATGAATCTAGACAAGTTGGTGACGGAAGTGCTCTTGTCATGAAATAAAAAATGTTTCTTTATTAAAAGATAATTAAAGCTCAAGACGAATGTGTTGTTTTCAAGGTCATTAGTGTCCGTGCATTGCTTAGTTATATTCCATGCAAACAGTGCTGATGTTGTGTGTTGACTATTTTTCCTAAATAATGCTGTACTTGTTGTCGTAACTTTACAAAAGGACAAGAGAGCCAGTTCAAAGGATTTGTGTCCGTTCAAGAGAGATCGAGTTTACAGCCATAAGAGCCTCATACTTAATTTATGAAACCATGAGGCATAAGTAATTAAATCTTGATAATATAACAATGTTCTAATCTTTAATTAGTCCAGTAGCCTATAAGATATGACTGATATTATTTTTTAATATATTTTTTTAAATTTGAAACTTATTTAATTTTTATTAAATAAATAAAAATTATAAAATTTAAACTCATAATTACTTGATTATTAAAACATTTATACTACATCAAAAAAATCATCTTGATTTAATGAATTAAATTATTACTTATAATTTTAAGATATAATTTATATTTTTTTAACAAATTTTATACAAATATTTATAAAATAATAAAGAAGGGGTAAGCCTAGAAGATATCTAAGTTTTGTGAAGTCATTGGGCTGCTGAAAATATCCATAGCTTTCGATGATATAATTATTGAACTGTAATCAAATTTAACCAGCAAATTTTACCTTATCAGCTAAATATCTCATTGTTTCATAATATTTCATATAAACATAATGATATCTTCGGCTTTTCTAATTTAAATTATTGCTAAATAATATGGCTGGCTACTGTTGAGTGTGGTGTCTTCTCCCAAAGGACAAGAGAGTCCGTAGAAGGGAACCGTGCCAAAGGTTTAATAAATTACTGTGCTCTGGTTTATGTTGTCTTCATCTGAAGAATTGTCTGCTGTTTGCTCTAGACTCTTCCGCCAAGGTGATTTCATGTCCACTTGGGTGCTTTCCTAATCATATATTTTGTCTTATCGGGAGAAAAATAAATTAAGGATAGGAATAAATAAAACATCTGTTTCCAGATTTTTTGAATTCATCACAGTATCAACACTCCAAACTAGACCAAACAATAATGACATTAACAATTAAGAAATACTGAACAGATACAACCAAACAATCAATAATTAAGTTTCGCGTGAATTAATATAATTATGAAGGAAAACATCGTGTATCTTGTGAAGGTGTGCAAATACAGGTTGGACTAGTTGACAAAGAAGATGAATTATGAGTCCTTTTAGAAAGAAAACTTGGAGGTGTGTACAGGCTTCAGGTTCAACTGCGGGCCTACCGGAGATTTTTTGTCAATAAGAGAATATCAGGTTTCTGCTGCCCGGTTTCTTTGACATTAAAACTGAGTACAAAGTAATTTACAATAATAATAACAATAACAGTATGGTTAGGATGAAAACAATGAAGTGAATATAAATAAGAGATTAAGATATAAACCGCCACAAAAGAGAGATTTTCTCTCGTGTGTGGAGGTCAACTTTGGATTCAAAGGCTAATTTATTTACATTATTAGAAAATATATAAATTTTATTTTAAAATCTGATTTAATAATTTAAAATTTTAGAATGAAATTAATTTTTTAATATAATATTAAAATTTTGATAATTATACGATCACAAATTTAAATTTCATAACTTTTATTTATTAGATAAAAAAATTAAACATGATGTTTTTATTTAAGAAATTATATTAAAAAATAATACAAATAATATTTTAAAATCTTATTTAACAATTTAAATTTTTAGATTGAATTAATTGTTTAATATACAACACCCTAACAAATTAATATGATAGCATTCATATGACACTACAGAAAAAACATAGAATGTAAGCCATGGCCGACAAGCCACATGCAGTTGTTATCCCCTTCCAACTTCAAAGCCACATAAAATCAATGCTAAAATTAGCCAAACTACTTCAACACAAAGGGTTTCACATAGCCTTTGTCAATACTGAGTTCAATCATAGACTCCTGCTTAATTCTAGAGCTCCTGATTCCCTTAATGGCTTTCATGATTTTCACTTTGAAACCATTCCGGACAGCGTCCCTCCTTCTGATACTCTTGCATCTCTGAAGATTTTAAGAAAAACCAACTGGCTTCATTTAATGACCTGCTTGCTAAGCTTCATGACACAACATATTCTGGTGTCCCCCCAGTGACTTGTATTGTCTCTGATGTATGATGTCATTAGCTATCAGTGCTGCTGAAATGCTAGGAATACCTATTGCGTTGTTCTTTACTCTCTGCATGTGTCTTCATGTGCTCCAAACAATTTCGTGCACTAAAAAAGAAAGGCCTGCCGCCATTAGATGGTATGAACATGAAATCAACTTTTTATTGTCCTTTGGTTTTTGAAGATTGAAATTACCTCCGAATTTGCATCCAGCTGTTCTTTGTGTTTGCAGACGAGAGCTTTCAAACAAATGATTTCGCGGACAGAATCATAGACGGGATTCCAGGAATGAAGGGTCTACGTTTAAGAGATAGTCCAAGGTTCTCTCGAAGTACGGATCCAAATGGTTGGTTTGTTAACAACGCCATGGAAGCAGTTGAGAGTGCTTCTAAAGATTCTGCGATTATTTTGTATACTTTTGATGCTTTGGAGCAAGAAGTTTTGAATGCTCTTTGTGTGTGGTCTCGCACTGTATGATGTGGGACCATTATATTTATTGAGAAGAGAGGTAGCTAACTCTCTTTAAAATTAAGTGGTTCAGGCATTTTGACCGCAAAATTAAAAATAGAAGAGAGAGGAAGAAAATCAAGAAAAAAAAAGAAAAAAAAAGAAGTAACAGAGTAGTCTGTATTCTTTTTTGATTTCCAACTCGTTCACCGTTGGATCGGGCTGAGATTTTGACAGCAGCTTCTAGACACGTAACTCTTCATTCAGAACGGTCAGATTGAAGATTGTTGGTGTGAAAGCTAATTGTTTTGACAAAAAAAGAGGCTGTCAGTATTGTGAGTTTTTCTCAAATAATTCTCTTTTAATCTTGTTATGATTCGAGAATAAGTTGTTCTTGATAATATATATGTTATATCCCTTAGTTGAATCTGAGAAAGAATGATTGTGAACTCATTATTTGTTGATAGTGAAAGTTTTTAAATAGACTATAGTCTCATGATTTTTCCTGCATCGAGTTTTCCACGTTAAAATTTTAATGTTGATTTTGTAATTATTTGTATTATATTTAATTATTATTTAATTCTATTTTACTGCAAAAAAAATTAAAACTTATAAATTATAAATTATATTTCACTAAATTAATCCAGATAAATTATCCTAGTTTTCTAACATTTTCTCTATGCATTCTCGTGTCTTTCCAATCGGTCCACTTCAGTTGCTTCTCAATCAAGTACCTGAAGATGATATGAAGTCCATGCATTGGATGTAACATGTGGAAAGAAGAGTCTGCAATGGCTTGACTCCAAGGAACCAATATCAGTAATTTATGTGAACGTTGGCAGTATAGCTGTCATCTCAAAGCAGCAGTTGATTGAATTTGGAATGGGACTTGTTAAAAGTGGTCATCCATTTTTATAGGCAATAAGACCTGATATGGTCATTGGGGACTCGCCTATTTTTCCACCAGAGTTTATGAAAAAGACTAAAGAGAGGGGCTTATAAATTTGCATTTAACAATAATCATATTTGCATTTAATAATAATAAGTCACAAATTAAGCATATAAATTAAAAAAAAATACAAAACACACAAAAAAAAAAATCAAAGTGTGAAGGGACCACAAATAAATTAACAAAGATCCCTAAATATTTTTAAATTTTTTTGATATAAAAAAGGAGCTTTCTTGGCCAAATATTAAACTAAAATAGACATAAAATTATGGTTAAGGCATAAGGATATATTTTGTCATACACACCCTTAATAAATATAATTTGAGCAAGCTAAGCCCAGATCCTGCCCACTAATTACTTTCGCACTATTTTCTTGCAACAATTACACAAAAATAGAAAGAAAAAGAAGACTTTACCGGGTGAAGTGGAAGGAGAAGGTAACAATGCAGGCACCACTTGGGGAATGCTATTCTCCTCTTCTTTTCAGTCTTCCTCCCTTTGTTCTTGTTTTTTTTTCTTTTTTGCTCTTTCTTGTAATGGTCTCCTTTTGAGGTTTCTTATGTTTACCCCCCTATAGGGTTCTTTTTATCTTAGCTCCTCTTAGGGTTTTTTTTGTTATGGCCTCCTCTTACCAATTTTTTTTCTTTTGTGATGGCCTCTCTTCAAGTTTCTTTTGATTGTCCCCCCTCCTTTTGGGCATACACCAAAGTCTGTAGTTATAGCGTCAGAGTCTCTTCGTGTATAAAAAACAAAGTTTCAATTAAACTTATTCTTTTTTTTTTAGTTTGAATTTAATTAAGAATCAAATTTGAAAGCAAATTACTATCATCTTTAAAACAAGGATTATCTTGAAGATAATGATAGAATGATAAAAGTACATTGTAGTCTCTAATTTTTATGTAAGTTGACAAATCACATTTTCATTAAAATAAATTTTTTATCTTTTAATTTTACATTTTAAAATTAAATTAAAAGGCCAATGACCCCAAAATTAGGTGACAACAGTCACGGTCCACATCTTACTTAGTATGGAAGCTTTGCGTGGTAAGCATTTACATCAGCTAGATATCAACAATGCATTCTTGCATGGTTACTTGGATGAGGACGTTTACATGACTTTGCCTCCTGGCTTCGGGAGAAAAGGGGAAACACGCATTTGAAAACTTTATAAATCCGTGTATGGCTTAAAACAAGTTTCTAAACAGTGGAAACACGCATTTGAAAACTTTATAAATCCCTGTATGGCTTAAAACAAGTTTATCAAGTTTTCCGGTGCTCCATTAGTCTCTGTTTGATTATTCCTTATTTGTTCGAAGCCATCATAATAACTTTCTAGCATTACTGATATATGTCGATGATGTAATATTAACTGGGAATAATTTGCAAGACATAGAGGACAACAAACTTTTCTTGTCTAGCAATTCAAACTTAAAGACTTCAAGCAATTTAAATACTTTCTTAGCATCGAGGTTGCAAGATCACGACATGGCATCAGTCTGTCATAGAGAAAATGCACACTTGACATTTTGGATGATACGAGGTTTTTGGGTGTTAAGCCATCTCAGTTTCCTTTGGAGAAATGTGTCCTTAACATAATCCGATTGAAAGCTTTTGGAGGATGGATTAACATGCAAGAGGTTAGCTGGCAAGTTACTCTACGTGATTATAACTAGACTGAATTTGACTTACGTTATGCATATTTTAAGTCAATTCATGGACGCAGCTTACAAGGTGCTCGAATATATCAAACAAACACCTGGACTTAAGTCAATTCATGGACGCAGCTTACAAAGTGCTCGAATATATCAAACAAACACCTGGGCAAGGCATCCTGTTTCGTCCACAGGTGCACTTCAGTTACGAGCATTTTGTAATGCTGATTGGGCTTGTTGTAATGACACAAAAAGATCAATTACTAGCTATTGTATTTTACTTGGAAAGGCACCAGCTTCTTAGAGAACCAAGAAACTGACAACAATATCACGTTCAAGTGCACAAGTAGAATATCGCTTCATGGCTACTACATGCTATGAAATTCCATGGATTAAAAACATTTTGAAGGACTTGCAAATAAATCACATATAGCCAGTAACTTAGTTATGTGATAATCAAGCAACAATGCGTATAGCATTGAATCCCATCTTGCATTGAATCCCATCTTTCATGAGTGAACTAAGTACATACAAATAAATTTTCATTTGATACATGAGAAAATTCAAGCATGATTGATTAGATAGCCTATATTCAAATTGCTTGTTTACTAAGCCTTTAAGCTCCACATAGTTTGAGACTTTTCTTAGCAAGTTAGGTGTAATTCACATACACTCCAAGGGTGAGTGTTAAAGGAAATCAAGTATAGCATAGGAAATCACTCACATAATAGGAAATCAAATTTAGTCAAATACTGTAATTGAATCTTTAATTATTTCTTTCCCTGTTCATAGATAATTAGGCTTGATCACAGGCAATAATATAGAATCTTGATGTTAAACCATCAGTATAAATCATAAATTTTGCTTACTCTGAAATAACACAAGAAGATATCATTCTCTTCAAAATTCATTTAGCTTTATCTTTTGTTACTAAATTGCAATCCAGATATTAACAACCCCGAAATGGTGATAAACAGTGGACCTTCATACCTTTAATGGTGCAAGACCTTTTTCTTTGAGTGGACGAAGTTGTTTGAAGCACATGAAGCAACCAGGAGAGACAGTTTCAAACAGTGCAATAGGTATTCCTCGCTCTTCAGCAGCTGCGATAGTGAATGCCAAGGAATCCGACACGATGCATGTTACTGGGGGCACATTAGAAGTGGCTGTCTCATTGAGCTCGTTAAGTAGGTCACTGAATGGAGGAGCCATTAAGTTGTTCTTGATAGCCTCAAAAAGTGCAAGGATATCTTGGGAAGCATCAATATCCGAATTAGGGAGCCCATCTGGAATGTTTTCAAATCGAAAATCAAACAAACCGTTGAGGGAATTAGGACCTCTGGATTTAAGTAAGCGTCTATGGTTATATTCAGTATTGACGAAGGTTATGTGAAAACCTTTGTGATGAAGTAGTTTGGCTAGTTTTAGCATAGATTTTATATGGCTTTGAAATGGAAGTGGGATAAGAACTGCATGGGGCTTATCAGCCATAGCTTTAGCAAATCAGGAGCAACGGAGAATACTGGAGAGACTCTGGTCTTTTGGAGCAGTGCTATTGAGACCACAACTGTTTTTATCCTTTTCTTTTGAAATGTTATAAAGTAAAAGGTTATGCAGTGAAAATAGCTCTAAAATTTAAAATTAATTGGCAAGTAGAGAAAACACAAAGACGAACACAATTAATCACACAAAAATACAAATATAATTTACATAGTTTGGCAACTTATGCATACTTTGTAAACAAGACAATAAGAGAAATTCACTATAAAATAATAAAAAATTACGAAGTGTTGAATAAAATTGCTATTATCTAAAATCCTAAAGTAGCATCAGCTCTTCTATCTACCTATCAAAAAAATAAAAAGAACAAAAACACTTACAAATAAATCTTACCCTAAAATATAACACTTTTAGATTTTTTTATAGATTAAATACATGAATATTCTTTTCTCACCTGGATTCACAATTTAAGACAAAATTGACAGTTGAATTCAAGGTATATATATATATAACCCATTGATTGAGATGAGCAGGGACCATGGAGGACCACTTCAAATGATTCTTCAGAAAACAACAGACAACTTTTGAGGGGGGATGCATCCCCTAGAACCATGTATAAAGCATAAAAATGGTTGAGGGTCATTTTCACTCTTGCCAAGAATTGAGCAGGAAAATTAATATCTTCTTCTCCACTAGTAATTTTAGCTCCTGAACAGTCCAAAGAAGTTCTTAGTTCAGCTTGCTGAAGAAAGAACTATTATAATGATTTTCCTTGGCCATGCATGATACTGGTAAAAATTAATGAGTAATGCTATTCCCAATACATATTAGGAAAATTATTATTCATTTATCAAAACCCCAAAAAAAGGATGTCTATCCAAATAGCTCATAATTTACAAAATAAAATCTAATCAGAGAAAAAGATGAAAAGAGTTGCCAATCAAGACAGGAACCTTGTATACCAGGAGAGGTTTCCAATTAAATAAGTTACTATATAGGAAGATAAGACTTGTCCTTTCTTCTGTGGTCCTACAGCTACGTAAAAACGTAACATCTCCAGGTCGAAGGTTCAAATTTTTGTTTAAACAACCTTGCACATGCCTAACACAGAGCAAACAAGTTACGGGGGGGGGTGTCATAGGATCTTAGACCCCCCCTCCCCCATTATTAAGAAAAGAGAAATTTACATTTAATTAGGGACTTCAGTTCCCTTAATCTAACAGAACATTTCTTATGCGTTGCCTTCGCAATTTATTACAGTTACAGCAGCATACCCCATTACAGAATTTGTATGTAAGGCCCAGCTGAAACATTCTCCAGCAAGTGCATCCCGCTTGATGGTCCTGAAGATCGGACACCATACATCTCTCTTCACGTCCAATGGACAGGCGGCATCAAAAGAAAAGGCAAGAGTTTATCCTGTACAATCTATCCCCTAAGCTTTAGCTTTTGCCAGGAATTACGACTTAAGAGCACCAAAATAAAGCTCCTTGGAAGAATAAAAAAGATAAAAAGACTTCCCAGTCACCATCTCCCATGTATATTTCTTTCCACCATAATACACATTTATGCATATGACTATAAGTCTTAACAAGATGAGAGTCCTGGATAATCCTTTAAAGGAAAATATTAGAAAGATAAAGATGAACCCTTAAGAAACCTGACTCCATAAATGTGAATCTATGCCATTTCCAAGCTCCAAACCACATTAGTTCCATTTCCATGTCCAAATTTACTGAGAGATTGATGTAAACAGATTGGCCATCCAGTTGCAATATCTTTAATTCTTTCCTCGGTCAACTCTTCACTGATTCAGAGTTTACGTGACCACTATTCCCTGGATGTGCATTCAGGCCAGTAATGGTATTGCGTTGCTGCCCAAAATGTCTTAAACGTTCCATCTGGCGTTCATTCGTATGAGGAAGGCAAGCTCTTAAAAGCTCAACAGGCATTTCTCGTTTTGTTGCTGCACGCACCTCTGAATCAATACCTTCTGCGCTAGGTGGTGTCTTTGCATAGACTGATTGCCATATAGTGTCATATTTAATCAGGCAGTACTTCATAAGAAGACTAAAAAATTCATCAAATGATGCCTGCCAGAGAGCAAAATTGGGCATACCACAGTTGGAAGAAGCCTGGGGACCATGTAATAGTTTACTAGCTCTTTCAAGAAGACACTTCAAAATAACTGTGGCTCCATCCCCAGCAGGGCTACCAAGAGGCCGAAATGGTGGCTGCTCTGAAGAACAAACTATGGCTACAAGGCAAGCACTCAATGCATGAAGATCCATGCCACTTACACATGCAGAAACTGTCTTTGTGAGATTTGTAGTTGTGTCAGCTGCTCCCGTATCTGAGGGAATGCCACCAAACAAAAATCTCAAGTGACGGAAAATAGCCATGCAGACAACACGGGTGAGTTCACTCCCAGGATATAGAAGCTGAAGAAACTTGCAGATGAGCTTTCGACCCTTGGGAAGTGATACTAACCGCAGGAACACAATGTCATCCTTTGAGGCAAGTCCAGCAGTTTTGCCAGTTTGGCCAAGTGGGTCAACAAGCTGAAGTGAAGCTGCCAATCCTTCAAGCAAGTTCTGCCGCCTACGCCTGAGCTGAGCCCCACCATCTTGGGGCTGATTACACTGCAGGAAACGATCAATATCATCTACATCAAGAAGAAGAGACAGGCTATCTTCAATGGTGATTCTAGCTGCAAGCATAGGTTCCTGTTCCAAAGGCCTCTCAGACATTTGTTCAGAGTTTCCATCACCAGAACCAGGAGGATCAACTTCAAGAAGGGGATGAAGCCTGCGTATGGAAGGGAGGGGCATCTTCCCGAGAGCATCAAAATGGAGATGAGAATGCTGGTCTGCACTGTTACGAGATCGAGAAGGTAGCTCCTTCAAGTGAGACGGGCAGAAATTGTTTTTAGTTCTCAACCCGGTAGATCTTTTGGCAAGAGAAGCTTGGTGGTAGTAATCATCTATATATGGGTCATTGCTATGAGTGGCAGCATGCTGCATTTTCAGAATACTCTCAATTTCATCAGCTGTCATATGCTTGGATCGGAATTGCACCCAGCCACTATCACTTTTCTGACTACTAGTGTCAGAGCCTTGTGAAAAGCGCCGGTTTCTTTGGGATGATTTATGTTTTTGTTCCCTCATATGTAAGGATGAAGGATGTGCATTAAAGAGTTGAGATTGCATTGCTGCAAAATGAGCCAAAGATGGTTGAACTGAAGGGTGCAGTCTCTGCTGTTGCAATTGCTGTTGTGGTGACATCAATTGGGAAGACAATAGGCCATTTTGATGCGATAATTGTTGTTGCAGTATACTCTGTAAGAGCCTAGACTGATCTACATGTAATAAGCCAGCATGATTAACCCAATGTTTTTGTGGCCTGTTATTAAAAGAAAGGCCAGGAGACGTGATCTGGGCCAGATTTCCACCATAATGTAACCCATGCTGTAAACCAGCCAGATGAAGATTAGAGTTGGACAAAGGAGACAGATTCGGGGCAGACAAGTGTGACTGCAGTCCACCAGCACGGGAAGCAACATTAAGGTGGTGTGGCGAACAACCAGGAGGAGGGAAAGATGTGAAATTTGATTTCGGTACAGGAATTGGTTCACTTGAGAAGTGCTGAAGCTGTTGTGGCTGCTGGGGATATGAGGAAGTTCTGTACAAAGGTTTTGATTCTGAGAAACAAGCAGAAGAAGGTTGGGGCTGTGATGACCATCTCTTGCTATCCTGAGAATTTTCTGCATTTAACATTTGTTGATCTAACCAACTCGTAAACTCTCCATCTTGTGCCCAATCAGTGGCAGATGAGCCTGAAAAAGAGAATGCCATTAAATATCATGCCAGAATGTATTAGACACCACCATTGAAGTAACCTGACCTAAAACAATTATATGCCACCCTGCAAAGTAATAACTATGGTATACTAGAAAGTGGAAATATATCAATATTAATCATCAAATAAAGTTATAGGAACTACATCTTATTTTGCATACTGAGAAACACCACATAAATCATTTGCACTAGTTGCGAGCACGTGATGAGAAGCACGCATATACCCAAAATATCTTATTACTGTTTTCTTTCAGTTAAGAAACCAGGGGACAAGCAACCATCTGGCACAACAAAATTGTTCATACTAATTGCCGCCAAGTAATATGATGGATGTACCAGAAATTCATGAGACTGACTAAATCAATCTTAAAATGGTTAGCAGAAACCAAAAAAATAAATAAATTAAGTTTAGCCAAGAAGCCACTCCATCTTATTGATGGGAATGACTTCTGACCTGCATACATATCTAAGGAATCCTACTAAAAATATCTGACAAATTATCAGGCTTATAGAAAAAACTCAATAAAGTCAGAAAAACAATCATGAAATGCTTTGTAAATTAAATAAAAAGGAGAAAAAAACTCAGGTCATAATTCACTTTCAAGCCCACAATAAAGAATGAAAGCATTTCTATTCAATAATACTTTTTGGTTCACAAATAAGATGACAACAATTATATGAGAATCAGATCTCCCCAATAACAAGGTCGTATAAAATGCTCAGCACTCAGAAAGCAAATTTACAGAATAATAAGTCTAGTAAACTTCTTGATTTAGTGCAACAAGATAATGTAAACAAAAAGTAACAGTTGAACTCACTTTCCCTCGAAAAGGATCCAGATCCTCTGTCACCAATAACTCCTGGATTCCTGGGTCCAGTTACAACTCGGTTCAACTGTGTAGGTGGACAACAAATTCACAATCCAACAAAAAAAATTAGAAAGCATCCCTCAAACAGGTTGGAAAAGATACCAGAGGCAAGATGATTATAAACAATAGTAGCAAAGAATATAGAGAGCATTATCCTAGAAGAATAATGTGATATAATGACAAGAGCACATCCTAACTTCCCTAGCTTGGGCCTGACCTGCTCAAGGGAAGCATTTGATTATTGTTGCTCATCTCAAAGTTAATGTTAGACCAGCTAATGCTTATGATGGCAGTTTCAGGTTTAGAAACCAAAACTCATCTAACAGAAAATGCATGTTCAGTTCATACTCTCTGAGGCAGT